CTGTAAATGCTTTTTGGTAGTGTCAGTGGTTTGTACTGATAAGTGTATTGATGACTGCTGTGAAAATGTCATGTTCTCTTATCTTGCACTTGTAGTGATGGGCAGAATCTGGCATGTATTTGGGTTTGTTGCAACCTAGATGACTTTTCAAACCATTTTAATGGTTTAAGTGGTCCATGGCATGTATGATCTTTCTCTGGCAGGTTTAGAGCCTCGTTTACTGTTGCTTGTGCCTGACAATTGCAAGGTGCTGTGAGTCCCTTTTCTTCCCTTAACGCCTTTCCAGTTGCTGTGGTTCTTATGAGACAGGAGTGTTTTGGAGCAGGTGGGTGCAGTATGACTAGACAGCATTTTTAGGGAGGGGATGCTGGTTTAGTTTTCTGGGAGGTGCTTGGTGCACCATGGTAACCCTGTTTTTAGTGAATCGTTCTGGAGAGAGGATATGTTTGGAAGGAACCAGTAAGAGGTTCATATCTTGAGAACGCTTGTTGTGTGTGATTAAGGTATGTAAGGGGAGTTCAGGAAGGCTACAGAAAATGGTGTGAACATGTATTCCTAACAAACTCTAGAAAGGTTTTTCCTATATACTCTGAAAACAAAAAGATACCATTTATTTACAGTATCCTAAATTCAGATGTATTGAAGTGCTAAAGATAATGAATGAAAAGACCTTTCTTGATTTCTGTAGTGAGAAGCAGTCTCTCTTCAGTTCTGATTCAATGACTGTTATAGCCCTAGAGATGACTCCCAGCAATTACTGTCGAGTCTTAATTAGTCTTGATGAGACTGATAACAGGCCTGCTAAAGAAAGTTAAATCCATCAGGAATGCCTGCAATTTACCCTGTGACACTGCCAACAGATTTTTTTTTTTTTTTTAAACAAAGTTTTGGCAGGAAATAAGTCTTAAAAATGTACGTTTCAGGGCTTCAGCATGTCTTTTGGCATGCCAGTATTGTATTTCTTAACACACCATCAGAAATGTCTTTGTATATTTAGTTTTTTCTTTACTCCAGGTCTTTTTGGTGAGGAGGGGTGATTTAATAAGTAGATGTGTAGTACTAGTTTTACAGGTTATGTACATAAACGCATGCTTATGAAAGCATGTGATGACTGTACTACCAGAAACAGTCAGTTATTTTGTAGAGGTCAGGGTGGGCTCTGAATTATACTTTAAATGTTGGAGCAAGGTCAGTACATTCTCAAGACATAAAAGTAACCCAAATTTCTGTCCTACAGTACAATGGATTTTCATATACGATGTTTAGGCTCCCTGCTTGGCAAAGACAATAGTTCTTCAGCTTTATTTGTTTACAAGTTAAACTTAAAATGATTGTGCTTACATAAATAGATGCTTCATAATACAAATAGCAGTAGTGCTTGATGTGTTCTTTCCTTATGGCAAAGAACAAACACCGAATAGAGATCAAATAACTTTGTGAAAGACAGGAGTGCATCCACTGTCATTAGCTGTGCACAGTTCCTTTAATTGGTGTGACTGACAGCTGAATAAGTATTCATTTTGGCTATTGAAGAATCTCGCTCAACAACCGGACTTTGTTGTGCATGTTCCAGTATTTATTAGGACACTGTAACTTGAGAGATGTTTTATGGTAGAGTGACAAAATTTCTGTAACAGCATTGAAAGACACTAGGTGAAGTTCATCTTCAAAGTACCTCTGTGCTGTTCTCTCCTCCGTTGCTGAAGACGTGTAGGCAGCACTTAGCACACGTAGCTTGGGAGGGCAAACATACTGAAGGTTTCCGTTTTACTGCTACCTAGTGTTAAAACCAGGCATTACCCCAAACCTATTCCTGTTTGCTACACTGCAAGAGGGATGGTTAGTGATCATCCCTCATTGAAACACTATCATGATGTTCAATCACAATGATTGAGCACCACTAAAATATGAAAAAGTATGTTTCTTTTCTGCCAATGACCTGCACTGACTTTGAGTAGTCTGTCTTGGCTACCTGAAACAAGTTAGTACACACCTGTACAAGCAACCTAACAGCTGAGCTGATGTGGGAGAAGTGGCAGGGGGACTGCACTGCAGGTGGTGATGAATGGAAAGCAGTCAGTCACTTTTCTGCCACCACAGCTATTTACTGAGCACAGATCTGTATGCAAGACAAACCAGTGCATCTTTTATGATAGAAACCTTCACTTTTAATAGAATGAGAAGATAGGAAACCAGAGGGGAATGAACTTGTTAGGCTAGGGGTGTTTTTTTCCCTAAAAATTCCACTTCTGACTTCATTTCACTCTCACTTTTATCTTTCCCTATGAGAGAGAATTGTTCCCAGAAAATCTGCTAATACTTACTTCATTTTATTTGTTTGTCCTGACCATATCTAACAGGGTAAACTTTCTAGTTTTGGACAAGCCCATGCAGGTTAACCCTGGTTTTGCCTGGCACTACCCTTACCTGTTGCATAGGTTATAGAGACATACTCTGGCTGTTGCCCCAGTAACCTGATCTCATGGGAGAGCTTGTCAGGGGACAGCAGGACTCCTAACACAAAGCTTGGCAGAATAGATGCTTTGTTCAAAACAAATATTGCTAAAATATTTACCAAGACTATCGTATAGTAGATTTGAACAACCTCACCCATAGCTTCCCTTCCTCTCCATTCTGCAAATTTGGACAGTGACCAAGCTGGGGAGACAGATTCAGTGTAGGCCTTGCTACATCCATCTCCTGAAGACAAATGCTGTGGTTCTTGCAAGATGCCATTAACAAGAGGACACCCCGGGCCTGTATTGTCTTCTCCTTTTTCATCAGGAGAAAGACAGTAAAAGCAGGTACATACATCTCTATCATTTTAATGCAGCTCATCTATATCCTTGAATGTAACCTGAGATCATGGTCTATCTCTGTGTTAGGCATCCGTGGAGTAATGTGGTGTATTCAGGATGCAGCTGTGAGGACAGTCAGTCATTATGCCCTTATGAATAAAATTCAGACATCTTTCCTTGCAGCAGCAGAGATTTGGACTTTGTGATCTAGGAGTCTGACCTTTTCCAGTCTGTGTTGCTGGTGAACAGTAACCTTTAGCATGAGAAAAATGATTCAGATGCTGATGAAAGGACAGATGAAAAAATTCTCAGTACTTGAGCAAACAAAGCAGACCAGAGCCTGATAACAGGCAAGAATTAGTGTGGTCCTTCACCAAAGGACTCTGGTATAAGGTGGTTTACCTTCTGAAGAAGAAGCATGAGGCCAAGGGTTGAATCTCATAAGAGAGCTGTGGTGTACATGCTATTGAGAGTGTAGGTAAAATGTAAGTCAGAAATCTGCAGGTGTTAGCAGGAATCAAAGCTGGTGTGATCATAGGCTGCATTTTCTTGGCTAGAGCCCAGGTCTTTGGCCATGAAGCCTCTGCTTCTCTGCACTTGTAACACACCATTCGTGCATGCAGTGGAGGAATGCATGTTTATAACATTCCCCTGTGCTCACTCACAGTACCTCAGAAATGTGTTTGCATGTGTATGTACACAAGCAAAAGTCAGACTGAGTCTCTAAGATTTCAGCACTGCCCTAAAAATGTTATTTCATTCATATCAAACTAGGTTGCGTTTCTTATTTATGAATTTCTGTTTCAAAAGTGCAGCTGGACACAAAACTGAATTTCGCGTGGGAAGTTCACATGCTTTCAGACTTGTGTGATGGCTGGGGAAAGAACTTTCAGACATAGAAAGTTCTGAAGAATTTTAATTCAAGGATGCCTGTTTTATTTTTATTTCAATATTAAAATACAATTCAGTGTCCTGACCTGCTGTTCTTTTCAAATATGTTATAATAAGGACTTTCATCCCCATCCTTTCTCCTTTTATGGTCTACGCTTCTTGGCTGAGCAAGAAATCCACTGAGAGCTTGCTGAGGATTCAGGTTGGTGTTGACTTCTGTTAAAAGAAGATCACTTAACTTTAAGTTTTCTAAAGAAAAAATGGGAGGAATAAAAAGATATCTAGATATCTTTCTTCCTCTGGTGGGGAAGGGCTATATAACAGATATATTTTGTGGGTCTTTTTATTTGTTTGCATTTTTGTTGTTTTTGTGATTTATTTCTTTTTCTTTCCTTATAAAAACTTTTTTTCCATCAAAACTGAAACCCAAAGAAAATGTCTCACTAGCTCTGTCTTGTTATGTTAATGACTGAGCTATGCTTCAACCTACTGGGGCAGAACAGTAGGCAGCAGCTCTAGATGTTTCAGGAGATTCTACCATAGCTAACAGTAACAGTGTTAAGGGAAGATTCAGATAAACAATATTAAGGGATAAAAAAAAAAAGTGTCCAATTCTAGTTACACGGTACATTTCCTGAATTTCAGGAGCAAAAGTGTAGAAAACATGAAGAATTCTACTGAACATGTGCTGTTGCCAAAATACAGGGGGTTTTATGTTGGTACCTGTTTTGAGACAATGACTCTACTGCTTTTTCCAAAATTAAAATAACAGCTTGGGAGAAGACCTGAACTTTTCTGACTCGTGCTGCAAATTCATGTAAAAAGTATTTTTCCATCCATTTTGGAATTGGTTGGGATTGCCATGTGTGTTTACTGCACGGATTATTGTTAACACTGGTAAAGGCTTTTCTCTTTGTATTTGTATTAAACTTCTGCTGGATTCTATTGTGTTATTTTAGGGACATGTCTGTATTTGTATTTCTTCACTTAACAGTGTCTTCTCCTGCCTTACAGACTGCACTGTTTCCTCCTTTTGTTTTATGTAAGTAATTTTTTTTTGGTCTCAACAATACTTTGCTGATAAGAGGCTAAACACAAATATTTATAACACTGAACAATGTGTGGAGTTTCTGGCGTGGACAGTGCTGCCTTCTGGGTTAAAAGCACGTGACAAAGGTGGCAGGAGGAAAATCCCCAAACACAAGAGTTTAAGATTGTTCTTATTTTTGGTTTGCTGTGTCATAACCTTGCTAAGAGAATCATAGAATCATAGAATCGTTTGGGTTGGAAGGGACTGTAAAGATCATCTAGTTCCGATCCCCCTGCCATGGTCAGGAACAACTTTCATTAGACCAGGTTGCTCAAAGCTCTATCCAAACTGACTTTGAACACTTTGAGGGCTGGGGCATCCACAGCTTCTCTGGGCAGTGCTTCACTACCTTCACAATAAAGAATTTCTTCCTAATATCTAATCTAATCCTACTCTGAGTTTAAAACCATTCCCTCTTGTTCTATCACTACACGTCCTTTTAAAAATAATAGTAATAACAAGTTGGAGATAAGAAAGTAGTGAATTTGCCCCCAAGACCATGAAATGAACATGTACTTTCAGTTCAGTAGAGTCAAATAAGATAAAATAAAGCAGTTTTTTAAAAGGTGACTGTGGAAATGACTGGTTTAAGTATTAAACAGTGATATTTAATGTGACCATTTTAGATGGGACTTTTAGGTTTTATTTTCTCTAACACATACTTTCTCATAGATCCTCAAATGAATCTGCTGCATGGTGTTCTTTGAGAATTCAAACAATTCAAGCCTGGAAGTAGTTGGAACTTTGGATCATGCTTTATTCCCTCATGATTGCTGAGTAGAGAAGTGGCAAGTAGGGGTAGTGTGCTGTGAGATGTGACTCCCTTTGAGTGGCAGAACAGTAAAGGAACCTCTATGTCTTTGACCCTGAGCTGTCACAGGGGACGAGGTGGCCTCTTTCCAGGTTGTGAAAGCTGCAGGGGTGGCAGTGAGGATCTGGCAGAAGTAGATGCATAAGGTCCTCCATGTCCTTTTCCTGTGGGAGCTTCATCATTAGCAGCACACACTCAGAAGAACTTACTGTGGTGCATGAACCCTTGTACCCTCCTTCAGCCCCAGCGCTGCTGAGTCCCAGGTGGTAAACTGGCTGTGCAGCGGCCTGCTTGCTCTTTGTTGAGAGTTGTGTCTTTATCTCATTTCGATGTTTGCATCCCCCGTTTGTTCCATGCTTCACATGCATTTTTATCCTGTGTGAAATGTTTCAAACCAAAATATGTACAACAAAGGCATGTGTGATGAAGTGTTTGCTCCTTCCCATTTGAGGGAGGTAGTGAAGTATTCAAGTAAGTACAGGAGATGTTCCTCTATGTAAAAGAAAAACTGGCTTTTATATCTCCACAGAAGCAAAGTAATGCTTATTTTAATTAAGAGGAACAACTAGACCTATCTCCTGGATAAAAGGAAACTAGTTTAGGGATAAAGATTAAATCTTTGAGGATCCCTAGAAGGACTTCAGACAAAACATTGGCTAATGCCTTGAGAAGAGGTTCTTTTGTTCTTTAATGCATACAAACAGGTGTGTGGGGGCATGCAGTTAAGTGAAATACTGCTTATCAGGAAAACCTGTGGGAAGTCTGTTTAAATAAAAAAGATTGTTATGCTTTGGCTTTCCTTAAGACCTTTTTCCCCTACATACCAATCTACAAACTTTTAACATGTTCTTAATTTTCAGATGTTGTAGGGAAAAAACCTAAATCCAACCCTTCTTGTTTGTATTTGATCTTACCTTGAAATAACTCTTGAGCCAGATTTCCTAGAAGGTGTGGTCTTTCTGTCTCAAAAAAATTTTACAAATATGAGCTGAGTTAGTTGTTTGGATGTTCTGCATGGTACACTAAGAGGGGTAAGCTCAGCATAAATCTCAGCTCTGTCACCCTGCTCTTGCTGACATTGCAGGAGTTGGGAGATGCTCCTATGAACAGG